ACCCTGTCCCTTCTTTTACTCAGGATTTGCCTGTGACAGTGGAACCGGATCCCATTGTTCAACGAAATGAGGCTGTGTTCAGATCTAGCTACCCTTTCAAATATTTATTATTATTACCATTATTATTACTGGACACAGAAACAGGTCACACATTAAAATAACTTTACAAAGCAAGGTATGAATCTCTGTCACAGTCTTCCCACACCACCACCACCACCACCCCCTTTCTGATTCCAGCTCTCTCTCAAGTTTAACACTCACATCCCCACCCTTCCACCCCAACCCCGGAGAAAATCTAACTTCATCTCTATTCCAGGTTCCTTCTAGTATGAGTTGATGACTTTATCATATGAGTCCTCCTCCTAACGTTTTAAAGACATTTCTAAGTGCTTGTGCCATATGTAAATTTCATTACAAAATTGTAATAGGAGTCATTATAATATGAATAATTACCCTAATTTAACTGGGCAAATAGAGCTCCTTGATATAATAGAATCTAGAGGACTTGGGGTTTCTTCTGTCCTCCCCTGTGACAGGAATAACCACCCTGTGTCTAATCCAGAAAAAATTCAAGTTGTTTGATATTCTAACCTGGTAGTAATATTGCCTAATGTTTGTTACAAAACTAATATATGCTCATAGTTTAAAAAAGATTCAAATATTTCAAAGAGTATAGGTGAGAAGTCCCTCTCTCCACTCAGCAGTTGGTTTTATTACATCCTGTACATAATGATTGGTATCACCTTTTGTGTATTCTGCCAGTTTTGTATAACTATTACCGGGTTGTGATGATTTCTTTGGCTCTTGTCTTCTTGAGGGAAAGAATTCAGTTGAGAGACAGTGTTTTGTGCAGGCAGCTATAGGGTAGTAAGAAGTTTATTGGTCGAGGCAAATACACTTTAAGATGTGGGGTGGACCAAACCCAACAGAGGGAAAGGCTCTTCTTACATTGTATGAAGACTTTTATTTCTGGGTAGAATCGCCTCCCCCTCTCCTTTTTTTTTGATTTTTTTTTTAATTCGGGAATTGGGGGGAGGGGAACAGCGTTGAGGAATCGGGGAAGAGGAACAGACAGGTAGACAAATTGCT